GTGCGGGGGGGGGGGGGGGGGGGGGGTGGGTCGCTGAGCCAACGACAAGGGGACTGTGGAGGTAGGCGCCCCACACGTTTGACACCACACGTGCAAAAAAACCCGCCCGTGCGTGCACGCATGCATGTGTGCGTCAGCCGTGCTGTGCGGCCGCGCCACCTTGTGTGAGTAGTAGTACATCATGCCGTTGGAGTCCAGCACGAAGAAGCGCCGCTTGAAGTCGCTGCGCCCCTTGCCCTGGCTGCGCTTGCAGAGGTAGCCCTGCTTGATAATGGACACCTGGGGGGGGGGAGGCACGGGTGAGGGCCGGGGGTAAGCACATGGCAGCCAGGGCTGCACGGCCCCAGGGATGTCGGCCATGTGCGAGCAACACCAGCAGGCCCCCGCGCGCAGCGCTGCAGCGACCCCCGCGACGCCGGCACCCCCCATCCCTCAACCCGCACCTGCTGGCCGCTGGTGGACCGTGTGGTGCGTATGAGGCGCTCAATGTCGGCACTGAGCTCGGCGTTGGCGGAGCTCATCTGCACCGGGCCCCCTGGTCCTGCGCTCAGCACCACAGAGCCGCCGCTGGCAGGGCCCGGGCCGCCGTTGCCGGCCGCGCCGCCATCCAGGCTGGCGCCGGCGCCGGGGGCGCCGGAGCCAGGGACCGGCTCCAGTGCCGCGACCTCCCGGGCTATGAGCGCCTCCCTCCTGTCCGCCGCCTCCTTGCGGCCCCGGATCATGTCCTCCAGGCCGCGCTGGGGGGGAGAGAGGGCAGGGGCAGGGGGTGGCGGCGAGGGTGGCCAGCATGCCGTCAGGGTGGGGGCGCAAAATGGCATGCAGGGCGAATGGGTGGGTGCTCGCATGCATGTGGACGAGTACGCGTGGGTGCATGCGCGCGTTCTGATTGAAAAGTGGAAGTAGAAGAAGGGGCCAGTTGAGGGCCCAGGTGCCGGCGGCCCAACCAGTCGTGCCCTCTGCTCGTATGCGACCCTGCGTGCGGCCAGGGTCTGCAGCGCCGTGGCATCCGCGCCATGATGGCAGGCCAGCCTGGGAGCCCCGTGCCGTACCGCACCTCTCTGAGCACCTTCTCCGCCCTCAGGTGCTCCCCGATCTGCAGCGCGTCGTTGATGGGCGACTCCAGGCGGCCCAGCAGGTCAGTGCCGTTGCGGAAGAACATGAGGTGCGCGTGCACCGCGCCCACCACCAGCTCCAGGAACGAGTAGCGCTTGGACAGCTCCACCTTTCGGGGGGTATTGCGGGATTGCGGGGGCTGGGCTAGGGGAGGTGGAGTGGCTGTGTGTTCCAGCTGGGGGTGCATGCGTGGGCAGGACCCCGGACAGGGAATGCCGCCTTCAGCAGACACCATTCAGACGCAGGGGTCAGGCCAGCCAGCTGTGCAAAACAAGAGGCCGCCGCTGCAAAACGATGACTGTCTAAAAAGGCGCCATATTCACGATGTCGTTGCCCCCGCCCCCACAAAAGCCCCCACCTCTGTCAGCTTGCGTGCCAGTTCAAAGCGGGCCTCCTCCTCCCCGCAGCGCGCAGTTGCCAGGTCAGCGTGGCTCTTCTCCAGCACCTCGCGCTTGGTCAGCTTCTTCAGGCTCTGGTGACGCACGCTGTTTGAGTGAGGCAGGGGTTCGATGGCATTGGGCAACTGCGTAGTGCGATGCTGTGCCCCATTCAGTGCTGCAGCCACCTGGCTACTCTGGCACGACCGCTGCAGCAGAGTAGACTTGCGCATCCCTGCCAGACGCGGCTGCTGAAGGTCAAGGGCTCAAGGTGGCGCCAAGCCACCGCACCCCTGCACGAAGCCCCCGTCCCCACCGCGCGGATTCGTAGTCCGATGCCTTGCGGTCGTACTTGCGCCGCTCATCACGCGCCGCCGCCAGCACCCCCTCCATCCAGTCCTTCTGGACGCGCTCTATCATGCCCAGGTCAAGCTTTGGGGTGGGGGGGAGAGGAATGGCATGCAGTGTCAGGGGGAGGGGCCGCAGCTGGGAGGGGTGTGACCCAGAGGGAAGCACGCAGCCTGCAGAACTTGCATGCGCACAGTGCCACCCGCCGGCCTGCCTTTTCTGGACGCTGCCCTTTGACCAGCAGCTGCTGGTCGCACCTGAGTGCGCAGGAAGTCATAGAAGCCGGCCAGCTCCCGAAACACCTTAATGAACTGTGACATCACCGCGGAGCCTTGAATGGTACAGGGGGTATACACACCGAGGGTGGCAGAGGGATGATGAGAGGAGAGGAGGGCAACGCAATGGCTTCGGGGTTGGCTGGCAGTCACACATGAGCAGAGAAACAGCAAACGTGCCCCCCATTGTGCTGCTTTTGCCATCCGCCGCTTGCCCGGGCGCCCCATGCCGCGCCCCTGCGCGGTGCCTCCGGTATCCCTGCACTCCATGCTGCCGCGCACCCAGGTGCAGGCTCTCTTCGTCCGAGCCGCCGCCAAAATCCGCCAGTGCTGCCGTGAAAGCATTCGTGGCGTCCAGCATGGTGGTGATCCCGTCGCGGTACTTCTTGGCGCCCGCCAGCAGCGCTGCGCAGCGGTCCTTCAGGCGCTTGGCGGATGCCTCCATCTCATCCGCCTGCATGACGCAGACGGGTGGGCGACGGGGATGCCATGCATGAGAGACGCACAGAGCGCGTTGAACATCTAATGCAGCCACAGCGTCGTGGCGCTTGACACAGTAACAAGGCGTCCACATGGGGCGCAGCAGGAGGCACACTGCTTGCGCTGGTGCGCGCGGCAGCAGCAGGCAGCCCTGCTGGCGGGCCGCTGCAGTGCAGGCTTCAAGGTCAATAGTTCATTCCCCAGGGCTTTCATAACGGCGCGCCCGCAACATATGGTGCTGTAAAGCAAGGAACAGCCACTGTCCCAACTGATCGGGCGATCCAAGCCGCACCCGCTGCTTAAACATGGGTGTATCATCCAGCCCATCCTCTTCGTCGAACAGGATCATCGTGGTGGAGGCCCGTCACGCTGCACGGCTTGATGATAGACAAGACCGTGCAGCAGGCACTTTCAAACGCGCGGGGAGTTATAACCTACAAATTGCATGGCGGATCTGCACAGACCAATACAGTGCTGGGCGCAGCCGCAGTGATCGCAAGCCGCACACCTGCACCCGAGCCTGAGCCACGGCACTCGCCAGTCGCTGTGGTGCCCCTGCGCCCTCCTGCGTGCTGTGCGCAGGCATTCGTCACACCCTGACAGTAACGCAACCTTTGCGACAGCGGCAGTGGCTTGTGGTAGATTCATGGCTCTTTGTTGGTGACATGGTGATGTCGATTGTCAGCCTGTTTGCTCTCGTGGTGCTCCAACACAGGACATGGCCGGTAAGGGATAAGCGCAGCGCCCACCCCATGCAGTGGGATCAAGCATCTGGAGCCCATTCGGGCTCTCCTTGTCTGGTTCAGAAGTGTGCCTGGTGAGTGGCATAATCATGCTGGATGGCGAAGGGCATCACCCCCTCAAAACAGGACGGGCCACAAGGACGGGCCTTGTTCAAGTATTTAGGCTGACATCAGCCACGCATCATGGGCTGTGTTACAGGCCTGCCTTGTTATCATGTGGCACCAGCATCAGGCTCCACAGGACTCCCCAGGCCACCTCCGCTCTATTGTCCAGTGTTATCGGGGCTGCAAAGGTTTGCTTGAAGCTGAGTGCTGCACGGTGTTGCTTGCCACGGACAATCTTTCCACAGGCCCGGTTGAATGGTGCCCATGTTTTGCCCAGACAGGAAACCTGGTCTAACCCTATCAGGGGGGGGGGGGCAGCTATGCAAACTTGCATCTGCACACCTGTGGCCAGTGTGGATGTCTCATTGATTGACTACGGTAGCATGCAATGGTCGGAAGGATTTGTCATCCAGGCAAGTGGTGCAGCACGAATGATGTTGTGTGCAGTTCGAATAGCTGGTGGGCAGCTCACCCCTTTGCATTGACTCGCTCCCAGGCTGCGGTCAACGCCAGTGCGGCTTGGCTCGCCACGAAGCACGTTGCATGTCATTGCGGGCGATATGTAGTATCCATCCATTTCGATATGAAAACCTCTGACGGTCGGTTGTATTTGTCAACCGGAGCTTCTCATCAAGGCGCTCCACGCGCCTCATGAACAGTTCAACAGTGACGAGACTCGTGCGCTGGTTGCAGCTCAACTTTTTGATCTCAATCATCTTCCGTCAACATTAATTTATCTTGCTTTACGCAACCAGATCATCACCGGGCGATGCAGACGACGCAAAGTTTGCAGAGGCCTGCCCTGGCCGTGCCTTTGAGCGCATCTGCACGTTGTAAGCCACTCAGGGCAGGTCTGTGCTTCCCTCACCAGCAATGGGCATGCCGCCAGACCTCGGCTCCAGCGGGGCGCGCTGTCGCGCACGTGACGTGTGCACACACCAGTGCCACACAGCCTGGCGGCGATGGCGACATAGCGCGGGCGCAGCCAGGGACTAAGAGAGGTTGGAGTGACCATGACGTGAGTTTGCTGGCGAGAATCGCGGCGGCGAGATGGGCCCGTCGGCCACAGCCTGATCAGCGCTTAGCTGCTATCATGAAAGGGCACCAATGTCTTGGGTGTTTCACAATGATGAGTGGGGACCTGGCTTGTGAGAGAAACCGTGCAGTGGAGCACCAACCAGAATGCTCGTCGCGCCGGCACAGGTCTTGCGACGAGCGGCCCAGGGCGTGCTGGGGGTGGCGCTGTCGCTCATCGCAGCGACGCAGGACCCCTCTGCTGTGCTGGCTGCAGACATGGCGCCGCTGGTTGACAGCGCCAAGGTGGTTGCGCAGGAGCAGCGGGCAGGGCTCAGCAGCAGTCTGGAGGAGCTTGAACGGTGCGGGCCGATGCTGGTAATAGGTTTTGCAACTCGTCGTGTGTAGACACGGCGTGTTTCTGTACCCGTGCTTCTATGCATGGTGCCAGTATCGTTTGGGGGAGGTGACTCTTTGCGAGCCCTTGCGTAACTGCCAAGTGCCAGGTCTTCGGTGAGCTGCGCGTTCTCGATGCCCATTCTCCTGACCCCTCCTGAAGGGACTATGGCTGGAAGGTCCGCGTGTACACGGGGTTCGGCGGCCCCCTGGCCACCAAGACGGACGCACAGTCGCCGCGCCAGATGTTTGGCCCCCCTGATGAGAAGACGCTGTGGCTCAAGGTGATCTTCCAGGGGCAGCATGGGCAAGGTGGTCTCATGTCACCTTGCACATGGAACGCTGCAATCAAGTATACCACGTGCCCTTCCCCTCCCCTAGGTTGACCCCTCTTCACCCAACATCTTGAACATGGTCTACATTGGTGGGTGGATGGATGGCTGGGCAAAGACCACTACCACTACGAGCGAGCAAGCTTGCTCTCTTTGCACCTGCCACACCAGTCATACAAGTGTGGTGCATGTGCAAACACTGCACGCGCATGCACACACACACACACACACACATCTATCTATCTCGCATGGACGCATGCACATACACATAAATACCACACACACCACCCAGGGGACGACGTGCTGTTCAAGCTGAGGAGGCCGTTCCTGCAGGAGGTGCAGAGCAGGTGAGCCGGGTTCATGGCCAGGGAGCCGTGAACAGACCGCTACATCCACACCTTGCAGCATGCGACCCCAGAGGCCGTACGGACTGGGAGCTCAGCTCCTGACTGACCATTGCGACTGCCTGAGTCCATGTTGCGGGAGAGCTGCTGTTGGCTGCGTAGCGTAGGGGCCAAGCGACGGGCCACTTGGCCGGGTTGGTATTGAAATTCGGCTCTCAGGCCTCCATTCACGACTGTGGCAGGTATGGCAACCAATTCTTCGTGCGCGAAAACGGGGAGAACGCCGCTGTGCTGCAGGCCGTGGGGGCGCTGACGCAGTGCTTGGCAGCGCCAGAGGGCTGCAAGGTGAGCGGCCTGGAGCGGGCGCCCGGCCAGGGCGCGGGCGATCTTGCAGGGTCCAGGAATGGTATCAAGGTGGGGTTCCTTAGCTGCGAGGAACTGTACGCGGCTTGCAGGCTGCCATCTACAGGCATGGGTGTCGATGCAATGCAGGGCATTGACTCGCCCCTTGCCGCACCACACTCCCAAAAACTCTTCTCCTTATCTTCTCTGACCTGCTGGCCTTCTCTGCCCTGGCCGCGTTTGTGATTGCCGCCCCCAGGTGGTTCCTGGCCTGCCGTCGGGGCAGTACTACTTCACTCTTGCATTCTCCGTGGCAGGCGGGGTGATTGCTGGGGCCGTGTCAAAGCTTGAGCCGCAGGGTGAGACTGAGGGGCCAAAGGTTTCAGGCAGCTAGCAGCACTGAGCGTGTTGGGCACAAAAAAAAGTAGCAATTCGCGCCACGTGCGGGTTGGTTGGCCCCCATTGCCGTGTATGCCAATGCACCATGTTGTTCTTGGAGGTGACTGAACTTTGATGCTGCACACCGTCTGTACCCCCAGGCATTGTCCGCCGGAAGTGGATCTGGCTTCTGGTGTTCTCTCCGCTGTGGGCCCCGCTGTTCATCAACTTTGGGCTGGGCCCCGTCCTCAGCCGCACCTCGGACGCACTCCCTGTGGTGGGCAACTTTGCCGGCTTTGCGGTGGGCGCGGCCCTGCCTTACCTGGACCGGCTGCTGGCGCCGCAGCAGCAGCAGGAGGGCGGAACTCAGTGATGGCAAGGCCTGCACTGACGTACCAGGAGCTTGGGCACTTTTGAGCTTGTCTGGGGCTGGGCGTGCTGGACCACGCTCAAGGTGCACCAGACATAAATTTTGGTTTCTGCGGCAAAGTGCTGGCCTCATTTGTCGGTGGCGTGCCTACGCGAGTTGGTTGACCCAGCAGGCCCATTGCTGTGAGTGCGTACTGTATGTTTCCTTCAAGCATGCGCTTTTTCCTGCTCGGCTTCTTTGCCAACAGTGCATGCTGCATCTGGCCGCGAGGTGTGAAACAAGTAAAAAGCAGTGCTAGTCCAACAATGCCATTACCCTGTCTGGAGATATACCCTTTATGGAACATTTTTCATCAGAATGCAACTTTCCCACAAACGAACAACAAACCGGGTGCTACGTCAAGTGGTCAATGGCGCGGGGTGGGGTCACACAGGACGGCCCGGCGAGTGCTACCGTAGTATCCAGTTCCATGCATGGCCACAGGGTTGCCGGATGCGTCATGCTACATAGTCGTTGAGGCCCGGGTGGACATTGCTGCAGCCACCTGATGTGCCTGCCAGATGAACTTGTTGCCAAAAGGGGGGCGCACTACGTCACCCAGTCACCTGTCGCATGGCAAGCCATGATCTGGCTGGCCGCGTCACATCGCCATAATCACGACAAGTTCGGCTTTTATTTCTCCACTTGAACGCGCCAGCCTAGAAAGTTGTACAAGCAAGCCGGCAGACTCCACTCGATACATACCGGCAGCCTCAGCCGCCATGGCGAAGACGCGTAGAGTAAGTGTGTTGTACTACGATCGCGCATGGCGGCAGGCATGTCGCCGGGCCGCCGAACGCGGCGAGGGCAGCGCGTCAACAGGACAGTGCATAGCGGCGGCCGCCGACGCGGCGTTGCTTATTGCATCGAATCTCACTCTGCTGTGTGCTCGTTGACCGCAGAGGAAAAAGCGCACGCACGTGGTGGAGGGCACAGACAGTGCCAAGAAAGCGGAGCCGCGCACGTTTGTGTTCAAGCGCGGCAAGCACGGGGTGAGCGACTGATGCAGCGGCCGCTACTGCCGGCGGGCCGGCCACCGCCGGCTGCTGCCTCCACTCAGATGCTGACACCATGCCCGTGAAGCGCCTTTCGTGCATGCGCAGGCCGTTGCAACGCAATTGCAGCAGCCCTCGCTCCTGTGTTCCTGTGGGCGCACACACCCGCTCATGCGCTCGCGCTGCCGCTGCCGCGCCCGCCCCAGGCCCTGCTGTCCCCCCTGGAGGCGGACCTGCGGCGCATGATGCTGCCCAATACGGCCCTCAACCTGCGCGAGTCCAAGCGCAACCAGATGAAGGACTTTGTGTCGGTGGCGGGGCCCCTGGGCGTGAGCCACTTCATGATCCTCACAGCCACTGACAGCAGCAGCTACCTGCGCGTCGCCAAGGCACCCAGGGTGGGCACAGCATGGGCCGCCCCTGTGTTGTGGGCCTAGCAGCGGCTGGAGCGGCACACAGCCCGTGCTGTGTGAGGTCATCAGGGCCGGTTTCTGTGTTCCTCGCAGCGCACACCAGACGCAGTTGGCGCGAGCGCTCGCGGCAGGCAGCGGTTGCAGCACATTAATGACGAAGCCCGCACATGTTCTATGTTTTGCCTGCCGTTGCCACTTACTTTCTGGATTTCCTCTTCTTGGTTCCTGCAGTTCAAAACCTCACCCCACTTAGTCCCCTTTCCCCCCGCTGCATCCGCCCAGGGCCCCACCCTGACAGCGCGCATCAAGGGCTACTCCCTGGTGCGCGATGTCGCGTCATCGCTGCAGCGGCCCCGCATGCCGCCAAACGCCTTCAAGTCGGCGCCGCTGGTGGTGCTCAACGGCTTCCAGGTGCGGGCGAGACCAGGGCAGCCGGGTCCGCAGCAGACTGCTGAACCGCGGGCACGCATGTCGTCGGGGCGGCACGTACCTTTGGCAGCTGTGACCTAAATCGTGGCGCTCAACCCTGTATCGCAACGCAGCGGCCCCCGCCCCAACCCACTGCACCCCCCAGGGCGGCGGCCAGCACCTGCAGCTGGCGGCCAGCCTGGTCCAGGCCATGTTCCCGCCCATCAGCGTGCAGAGCGTCAAGCTCAGCGCTTGCCAGGTGGGGCCCGGGCGCGGTGTGCTGGTGGCTCCACCAGCATCAAGGCAGCTTGTTGCACTGAGGGATCCCCGCGTGTACTGCACTGCTTGGAGGAACTTGCTGCCTGCCGCCAGGTGCTTGACTCCACCCCGCCACCCCCCACCGCGTAAATCCCCAGCGCATCGTGCTGCTGTCCCACGACAAGGCCAGCGGCCTGATCAGCCTGCGCCACTACAGCATCTCCACCGCCCCCAGTGGCATCAAGAAGTCCCTCAAGGCGCTGCTGGCCAAGAGGGCCCTGCCGGGGGACATGGGGGCGCTGCGTGACGTCAGCGAGCTCGTGACTAAGAGCGGATACGGCTCGGTGCGCGGCCTTGGGGGTGCGGGGGGGGGGGATGTGGGGCAGCTGGCACAGGTTTTGTCGGCCACAGGTCACAGGACGGCACCTTTGGAATCAAGTTGATGGTGGGGCCGCGGCATGTCGCACACGGGACACCAAGCGGGTGAACGAATCTGTGTTTGCAAGGGGCGCAGCATGCCTGTGCACGTTTGCATATCACGCCCCCACCCCTCATCCTGGCATGCCCTCCTCCTGTGCCCCCTTCCCCATCCTCCTGCCACCCCGGCGGCCCCCAGGAGTCTGAGGGTGAGGACGCGGAGGTGAGCCGTGTGACTGTGCAGCAGGAGACCAAGGGGGGCAAGACCCTGGCCAAGCAGAGCAGGGTGCGGCTGCACGAGGTGAGGAGGAGGGGGGCTGGGGCTGTGGAAGGACCTCCCCC